GTCTCCTGTGAAAGCTGGTGTCCCCGGCAATGCAGCCCCCTCTCAGTGCAGAGGCTTGGCCTGGCCTTTTCTGGCTAAGTCTTTGGAAAGGGTTGTGAGCCATCAAATCATCTAACTGTGAGAAGGGACGGTGAAGACAGAGTTGATTCATCCTGCACTCTCAATGATAGTTTGCATGGAGTCTCGCCTTGCTGGCCGAGTGGCTCCAGAGATTCTCCGAGGGGCAAATGTAACTCCACCCTCACAGGCCCCTTTCGAGTTTGGACACAGCCGCTGTTGCTGAACCCAAACCTACCTGCTCCTGGTACCAAGTGTCCAAATCCTTTTTATTCTGGTCTGCAAGCTTGGCGTAACTTTCGCGCATTTCCTGTAGTTTCGCAGCCAGGTCAATGGAAGGAGCAGAGTCGACGTCGACATCGATATCTGCAGTCTTCTGCTGGCGCAGGAGCCTCAGTTGCTGAAGAACAAAGATGATAAAACGTTAAAACAATACAAACCAACCCTCCAGTGCCACATGCTAAATGGGAGCTCTCTCCACCTTTTCAGTGCAATAAGCGTATGGGTGCTGAAAATAGCAAAGGGAATGTAATGTTGAAACCTCAGCCCTTAATCATTGAGATGGACTGATCTATTGTTGATAGAATTACAGAGATAGAGTGAAAAGTATTGATTTGTATGCTATACAGGCAGATTGTACCATACAAAGTGCATCAGGGTAGCAGAACAGAGTGCAGAATACAGTGTTACAGCCACAGAGAAGGTGCAGACAGAAAGCTGAGAATTAACATTTGAGAGGGCTCTTCAAAAGTCTGATAACAGCAGGGAAGAAGCTGTTCTTGAATCTATTCATATGGGTATTCAAACTTTTGGATCTTCTGTCTGATGGAAAAGGGTGGAAGAGAGTATAACTGGGGTGGGAGGGGTCTTTGATTATGTTGTTTGCTGTCCTGAGGCAGTGGAGAGTATAGATGCAGTCAATGGATGGGAAGCTGGTTTGGGTGATGAACTGGGCTGTGTTCACAACTCTCTGTAGTTTCTTGCTGTCTTGGGGAGAGCAAGAAATGATACATCCAGGTAGAATGCTTTCTGTGGTGCACCTATAAAAATTGTAAAGAGTCCTTGTGGACATGCCAAATTTCCTTAGCCTCCAGACAAAGTCGAAACATTGTTGTGCTTGTGACTTACAGGACGTAGCCAACGAGGGGGCCATAGTCGTATTTGCCCTGGCCATAGCCCATGCCCAGCATCAGGTTTCCAACTGTGATCGAAAATACAATTGGGGAGATATTCAGACAGGATCAGATATCCTTCGGCAGATGAGGCTGACGTAAGGCATGGAGAGATATTCCCATTTTCTGGGACTGGGGGGAAAATGTATATCTTCATCCAGGGTCACCCAATGGGAAGGGAGACAGACAGTGAGAAGAAGAGACGCAGTGTGTGTCAGGGAGAAAGAGACTGTGTAGGGGTGGGGGAGGGTGAGACAAGAGAGTGTGGGGGAGAGGGAAAGAGAGTGTGTTCGGGGTGGGGGAAGGGGAGCAGAGTGAGAGAGTGAGTGAAAGTGATAGAGTGTGAGTGCCAGAGACTGTGTGTGACACAGACTGAGTGTGAGAGAGAGAAAAAGTGAGAGGGACAGACAGGAATACAGGATGGAGATAGAGAGTGACACAGAGAAAATGAGAGACTGAGAGAGAGAGAGAGACAAAGTGTGAGAGGAAAAACATGAATTTGTTTGATACAGGGACACCTCAGGATCCCACCTCCTCATGATCCTTCTTCATGAAGGCGATCTCGTCCTCCAGACCAGCAATCTCATCAACCAGACTAGACTGTAGCTGCAGGTAAGTGTCCTTCAGTTGGTGCAGTCCATCAATATCATTCTCCACAGACTGTCTCAGCATCAGCTCCGAATCCCACCTGCAATAGAGGAGCCGAGAAAACAAGATCAGCCCAGGAGCATGCCCGAGAGAGAAAGACAAGAAAGGACCAGTTCCTTTCAGCATGACAGGGAAATCATCGCGAGTGAGCCAGGGAGAGAGGTGGAGGGAAATTACTTGTTCTTGAAGTCTTCAGCTGCCAGTTTAGCGTTATCGATCTCCAGTGCAATGCGGGAATTCTGCATTGTGGCCTCAAGAATCTGCATAAAGTGAAAAAGGGACAGTGGTCAACCAAAGGGAGCATGGACTCCAGTTACAGTGTGCATTTGTACGGCAACCTAACTGAGGGTACTTCAATCAGCCATAGCTGGTGTGACAAGGATAGATAACTTAAGGTCAAAGAGGAGGCTGAGAGCGCAGACTATGCTGTGCCCACCTGATGCCCACACAAGCAGGCACTGTGCACTGTCTCAGGGAGGTCTTTCCCCTCTGCAGCCGTGTGATTTGGTGCACACATTGTCAGCTTCTCTGAGTGCAGGGTTGGGGCCGGAGGGGCGCGGTGGAACAATGTTGTGGTCAGTTTTTGTTGCAAAGAACTGCATTAGCTGTAAGTTCCGTCCACAGCCATCTCAGCGAGAAGCTGGAGAATGGGTGACAGCTCGTTTCAGACCAAGGTTTGCTCCTGCTGTGTGGGAACTCTACAGCTTTGTAAGTAACTCCTTTCCAGAGCTACAGCTGCCCGCCCCTGCAGATATTCAGGGCTGGTCAAGCTGAGGAAAAGGCTGTCATGCCCACAGCAAAGTCAGATTTAGGTTGTGCCACAAGACAAATCCAGGTGTACGAGACAGACACAACAGAAGCAGAAACAGAACATTCGGCCCCTCAAATCTGCTCTGCCATTCAACAAGATCACAGTCTGTTGGTGAGATTTCAAATTCCACATTTCCATCTACTCCCAAGTCACCCCACACTCTTCTAAACTCCAGTGGAAACAAGCCAGAGACTCTCGCTATTCTTGTCTCCTCACAAACAGTTTGATTTCCCCTCTTGCAAGTTCAGGCAGCCGACCTTTCATAGTTCAGGCACAGCTAGTCCTAAAGGAAGCAGATGCATTCCGTTACCTTTTCTCAGTCTTTTTGTGCTTGTGAGCGAGAGATCCAGAATCAGATTTTGGACACAATGCTTGGCTGACTGTTGCTTCAAGATACACAGCCGCTGAACAAGAACAGAAAAACCACCCCATCCGACTCAAACCCATCCTAGTTCACAACCTGGAGATCTCGTGGGTTCATTATAACCTCTCCTCTAAAGGCAGCCAGCCACAGACACAAAGACAGCACTTGCCTTCAGTAGCAGCTGGGGCACCCTGTAGTTCAAGGGAGGACAAGACCAGCTTGCAAGCAAGGGCAGGGGTCACACCCAGTGTTTTCAGCCCTGGTCTGTTAGTGGGAGAGCTCCCAAAGAAGAGGAGACATGGCCTCCGTAACACAGTCTGAATCTCAACAGGGCACCCCGTGGGACTGTTTCCAAGTTAACCATCATCATAGAATCCCTACAGTGTGGGAACAGGCTATTCGGGCCAACAGGTCCACTCCACCCCTCCGAAGAGCATCCCACCCATACCCAGACCTACCCCTAATTTCTCATGTCTAACCCACCTAACCTAAACATCCCTGAACACTATGGGCAATTTAGCATGGACAATCCACTTAACCTGCGCATCTTTGGACTGTAGGAGGAAACCCACGCAGACACGGGGAGAATGTGCAAACTCCACACAGACAGGATGGAATTGAACCCGGGTCCTTGCCGCTCTGAGGCAGCAGTGCTAACCACTGAGCCACCGTGCCACCCTAAACTGGGTCCTGATAATTGCTTCCTGTCTGGGAAAGGAGGGGTAGGTAGAGTTGAGGACTATCACATCAGTCACGAAGGGTGAGACGGGGGTCGATGGGCTGAATGGCCCATGTTCTACAGAATCCAGGGTTCTGGAGATAAGACAGGCGCGGGGTTGGGGGCTGTCAGGTTAGCCATGATCCCACTGCAGTCCCCCCACCCCCCCAAACCCCATCCCCATCCCAAATCGCCTCTACCTGCTGCTGAATGGGTTTGACGGTCTGCTCGTAGATAGACCAGTCAAAGCCCTCGATGCTTCTGGTGCCGAAATCTCGGATCTGCTTCTCCAGGTCCTTGTTGGAATCCTCCAGTGACTTGACCCGGCTCAGGAAAGTGGCCAGGCGCTCGTTCAGATTCTGCAGCGTGTTTTTCTCATCAACCATCAGGGCGCCGGAGCCCAGCAACGTAGCGCTGCTCGAAGAGAGCCCTCCACCGAACCCTCTCCCATAAGCCGACAAACCTCCTCCGGCCACGCTGATGGCCGAGGTGGAGATGGACGGTCTGGATGAAAACTGATACATGCTCATCGAAGACTGCGTCGGTCTTGAGCGGCGCATACTGCCCCCGGCGCTACTAAAGGTGGACTGAGTTCGAGAAGTCACCGACATGATGGTGGAGAGGACGGAGTTCCACACAACAAACTGAAAGAGTGCACCAGCTCACTCACTGCGCTGCACCGAGAAGAGACGAGGCTCAGAGTCCCATTTATTGCAGGCACCAAGAGGGAAGAACCACCTGGACAGCCCACCCACTGTCTAAACCGATTGGCTTAATCCCAACATCCAACACCCTCCTCCCTTCCTTTTAAAATAACATTCCCTAAAAAAAAAATCACGAGACAGTGCTCCCACCCACGGGCTGGGCGGAGTGCCCCCACCTCACACCCACCAGAAACACCCCTTTCCAAGAGCCAGGTGGGTAGGGGTGGGTGGAAATGTAAAAGATTGGGTTTGTGTGTTGCACACAGAAAAGAGGGTGGAAGGGAAAGGCACATTGCTCATTGCCCCAGTTAGGGGGTGGTCCTGATCTCCCTCCACCCCTCCCTGGGATGCATTAGCGTGCTTGGGGGGTGGGGGGGGGGGTCTGTGTATCAAGGCAAGTGGGTGGGGGCTGAAAGAATGGAAGGGACCAGGTTGTTAATAGAATGTTAATTGTACTCAGACAGCGGATATTGATTGTGGTCCCACAGTTTTTGTGTAACGGGGTTCTTGTGGCACAATGGTAGTGACCCTGCCTTTGAGCCAGGAGACAGAGCTTCAAGTGTCACCTGCTCCTGAAGTGTGTAGTAACATCACTCAACATGTTGATTAAATACGTATAATACATATATATATAAATGTTTCATATCTAGGAGTGAGATGTGCAAATAATAGTTTCGAAATGAAGAACGACTACGCTTCCACAGAGCGTAAACTAAAGGGAAATACTGGAAACCAAAGTGCTGGGAAATGTCAGCAGGTCTGAGGAGAGAGTGTTGATGCTGTTATGACAATTAAACAGTGCAATTAGACGAGTTTAAAATAAATTAATACACATTTTGCACATTCTGGGACTTGAACACAGATCCCCAAAGCTTCAACCTGAAAAGTTTAAGTTAGCCAGTCTACTGAAATTCTGTCCAAGCCACACCTTGAAATGCCAGTGAAGTCTGATTGTAATTACTGGTGTCTGCTGTAGCTCGAACATTGACTCGGATCGTAAGGGAACTCTGCTGCTCTTTTGTTCAACAGCAACAACTTGCATTTGTGTAGTCTCTGTACAATAAATGAAATGCCCTCCATCCCTGCTGCACACCCCCGCAAAGTTTGTTATCATTATTTGGACAAGCAATCAAAAGTTTGGTCGCAACAGCTTTTAAGGACTGCCTTAAAAGGGAAGGGAGGGCTTAAAGAGAGTTTTGGAGAAGACATTCCAAAAGATAGAAAGTGGATTTATTGAAGGCACAGCCATCGTGAGTGGAATGAAGGAAATCATGAGTGTTGGAGAACTAGAGATAAAGCATGAACAATTTTCTGAAATTCTCCAAACCAAGTGACTAGTTGGTTGAAATAGTTGATCCAATAGCGACAAGGCAAAATATTGCACTGGTTTTAAGTTTGTCATATATAAATGGAAGAAGGAACAGTTAACACAGGGGCAATGTAATAGTGAAGTGCCACTCATTTCTTTCCTCATTTAGATAGCAAATTTGTGATCTGAAGGTGAATTTGCTTCCTTCCAAGTTTGAAACTTGAAATTTGTGAAGTAACAATCTATACTTCTTTATAGCTGCTCTCAGCAACCACCCCAGCCCAAAATTCCAGCCTGTGTAAACCTGAGTTCATCCAAATTACTGCAGCCCATGTCTGAACGTGCCCTGAATCCTGTTTCCGATCAGCCCACATTTCAGAGTCTTGAATTGGCTCCAGACTATCTTGGTTTTCAAATTCACATCCTTGTTTTCCAATTGTTCCCTCACCCCTCCCTCTCTCTGTAATCTCCTGCTTTACAATCCTCCCAGGCATCAAGATTCCATGGTGTCAACCTCGATTTTAATTACTCCATTGACAGTAACTTCTGCTGCTCTGGAACCCCCACTACCCCCCTCCCCACTTACATCTCTGCTTCTGTCTATCCCACTTCCTCATGTAAGACACTCCTTCAAAACCTACCCCCGGACCAAGCTTCTGGCCACCTGTCCTAATATCTCTGATCTGAGGAAGGGTCACCGGACCCGAAATGTTAACTCTGTTTATTCCTTCACAGGTGCTGCCAGACCTGCTGGGCTTTACCAACAACTTTGCTTTTGATCCTAATATCTGTGTTGTTTGGTATCACATTGTGTTTTAGAGTTTCCCTGGAAAGTGCCTTGCCATGTTTTCTCATGTTAAATGTTGTATTTGTGTGAAGTTTGTATAAGTACATGAGAGGGAAAGGGAAAGAAAACAGACATTCCGAATAGCTTCCATAAGGCGAGAGGAGGCTCATGTTGTGCATAAAAACAGTATGAACCAGTTGGGTATAATGGCCTGTTTCTGTGCAGTAACATTCTATGTAATTGTTGTGTGAAGGAATTACCTGATTTTCAGGAGCAGACGTATCCAGAGGCAACAAATTAGACATTTTCTTTCACTCTCACTCTGCATTTTGTTCAGGGTTTTCTTGAAGCTGCACAATGCATGTCTTGCAGACTGAAATAACTCCACAGGGGCAGGGTATCCTGTCACCAACTCACCCTTTCTTTACACAGGAACAGTCCTTGACTTTAGTGCTGACTCCTACAGAGTAAGGCCCCAGAGTGTCAGTATCTGCGACACTCACCCTTTTTATGTCACCAGGGCTCCCTGACTGGACCAGAATAAACAGCCCCGATCAGGGAACTCATATTCTATGATGTCCAGCTGACTGAACTCGTTACAGTCACTACATACACTACTCTCGTGCAGAGAAATAGCGCTGGGCACTGAATCAAAAACAAAGACTCAACTTTTCACATTTCTGAAGGATCTGGGTGAGTACTCTGGATGGTTGTGAGTTCAAATCCTGCCATCGGTGTCCAAACAGAGCAAGACTGTCAATTTGCTTCATTTCACGAGCAAACAGCACCACACCTGTCAAAGAAACCAAACCTGGTTCAGGGAAGTGGATCTGCTGCAGCTCCCTGATTGTGCCCACACAGAGCCCTAGACCCACACAATGTAGGTTCACTCTTAATGCACCTTCAAAGAGGCAAACCAAACCATTCTGTTATAAGAAACTTAGACAGTCAGCAAGTTAGGAACATCAAGGACTGAGAGGCAATAGAGGCAAGTATGGAAGGGTATTAGGGACAGAGAGGGCAGGGAGCCAAGACTGACTTATTTATCCCTGTTATGTAGGCATTGCCAGGATGTATTGCCCATTCTGAGATGCCCTTGAGAAGCTAGTGGGGAGCTGTTTTCTTGAACCGCTGCAGCCCATGTGCTGTAGGTAGACCCATAAGGAGGGAATTCTTGGATTGTGAAGTGACAATGGTGAAGGGCTTAGAAGGGAATTTGTAGGCGGTGGCATTCCCATTTATCTGCTGAACTTGTCCTTGTAGATTGGAGGTATCGCATATTTGGAAGTGCTTTTGATGCATAGAGTCCAGGTTCTGTACACCATCTGACCTCCTCTCTCCTCACCTCTGCTAATTCAGTACAGTCCTGAGGCAGTGCTGCACTACACTCCTCTGGCCCCATAACAACCCTCAGATCACTCAAATCCTCCAATTCTAACACCCCGCCCTTCCCATTAGTGGCTGTGCTTCTGCTGTCTTTGTAGTGGCAGAGGTCCTCTGAATATCTGCCAGTGATGCTAAAGCTTCCCACACTGAGTTGTGAACCTTCCAAGCAGTTTTAAGGGTGGTCAGGGAACAACAGTGAAGACAACCAGCTCTCCATGAGTAACTCGAATAGGTATGGTCATGCCCAAATGAGTTGGCTAGCGATAAAAGCTGAAAAAATTCTTTAACAACAACAATCTGGGGTGGGGCGCAGAGCACTTTCAGGCATGTCCACTCAATGAACACCTGGCAATTGGGAAATAAGAATGTTATTGTTCTCACAGCTAACTCCTCAGGCAACTGACAGAAAATTCATGACATTGTGAATGGAAGCCCTAGGCACCAAACTTAGACTCAGAATTTTGACTGTGTAACCTTCACAGGATCCTCTTTAAGGATGTCGTAACATACTTTCAAGCTTTTTAAAAACTAAACCATGAGAAGGCACGGAAGTGAGCCTGTGCGTGCGTGCTTGAGTGTGAGTGGTGTGTGCGTGTGTGTTTGTGAGATACTGGTGTGTGTGTGTTAGTGAGTAGTATGTGTTGGTGAGTGAGTAGTGTATGTTGGCAGTGAGTGGTGTGTGTTTGCGAGTGAGTGTTTTTGAGAGTGCATGCAAATGAGTGAAGGAGTAGTGTGCATGCATGTGGTTGCAATTGAGTGGTGTGTACATATGTGTTTGAGAGAGTGTGTGGTGTGTGCGGTGTGTTTGAGAGTGAATGGTGTGTGCGTGTGTGGTTGACAGAGTGTGAATGGTGTGTGTTTAGAAATGATGGTGTTTGCGATTAAATGGTGTGTGCGCACGTGTTTGTGAGTCTGTGGTGTGTGTGTGTATGTATTTGAGAGAGAGTGTGTGCTGTGTGCATGTGTGTTTGAGAGAGTGAGTGGTGTGTGTTTGCAAGTGAATGGTGAGTGTGTATTTGCGATTGAGTGGTGTGCGTGCATGTTTGTGAGTCAGTGGTGCGTGTGTGTGTGTTTGAGAGAGTGGTGTGTGTTTAGAAGACAGTGGTGCATGCGTATGTGTTTGACAGAGAGTGTGCTGTGTGCGTGTGAGAGAGTTGTGTGTGTTTGCAAGTCTATGTGTATGTTTACGAGTGAGTGGTGTGTAAGTTTGTGGTGGCGAGTGAGCGGTGTGTGTTGGCGAGTCAGTTGTGTGTTTGCCAGTGTGTAGTGTGTGTGTATGTGTTTACGAGTCAATGGTGTGTATCTGTGAGTGGCATGCACACGTGTGAGAGTGAGTGTGTCTGTGAGATTGTGCACAAGTGACCAGGCAGCATTTATTGCCCATCCCTAATTGCCCAGAGGGCAGTTAAGAGTCAACCACATTGCTTTGGGTCTGGAGTCACATATAGGCCAGACCAGGTAAGGATGGCAGTTTCCTTCCCTAAAGGGCATTAGTGAATAAGATGCATTTTTTCCAACAATCGACAATGGATTCAGGGTCATCGTTAGACTCAATTCCAGATATTTATTTAATTCAAATTCCACCATCTGTCGTGGTGGGATTCGAACCCGGGTCCCCAGAACATTGTCTGGGTCTCTGGATTAACAGTCCAGCGGTAATACCACGTGTGTCTGCGAGAGCGAGTGTGGTGTGTCTGCGAGAGCGAGTGTGGTGTGTCTGCGAGAGCGAGT